TCCAGGGGATACACATGAACAAGACTTGGGTCTTCCTTTTCCGATCACATCTCCAGAGACTTCCAGGCTTCTGCCTTTAGTTGGCCATACCTTGATGCTTAACCACTTTGAACTGCGAGATTTCCTGTGCATGTTGTGCTGACCATTCTTGTGTAGGGAAACAGGCAAAGCTGGCAGATCAGCCTGAAAACGAGGTCCGACTGGAATTGCGAGTCTGAGACTATCATCACATATGTACTCTATCCAACCTTTAGGAACTGGATCGTTCTCCTTCTGGATATGGAGTTCCTTTGAGGGCTTCATTTCTTCGTCCTTCTGAAGACAATCAACAATGAGAAAAATGCTCCAAAGGGACTGGCAATCTCAAGTACTTTGTAGGTGTAGGTACACAAGCAAATAGATGCAAGATGCTTGATACTGCTAAGCACGTTCGTTAGTCTAGATAAAATAGGACAATGCACAAGATGAACTCCAACGAATTGCTAATTTGAACTATAGAATTCATGAAAAGAATTGTGCAAGACTCAGTGCATTCATGCAATAAAAGACACATCAAGCACCATCACCTGTCATTATTTTTAACCAGTAAAGCAAGGGGAAGGAACCTGTTCAAGATGGAGAAGATGATATTAGCAAGCGAATAGCTTCTTCGGATTGCACGATTCCACTCTCCCAATACTGTGTGCTGGGGGAGGCTGTAATGCTATTGATTAAAATTGATTTTATGTCATCGTAGGCCGCTAAATTGTACAGAAAAGAAATACTACTATCAGTTAGCAAATACTACATGCAGACAACAGTTTTCAAAAGCACCTCAAAGACACAGAGCTAGCGATTCAGCAAAATAGCTTTGCCTTCCACCAAAAGAAGGCGTTGCTTTGCATAAGCAATTGATTTTGGTGACGACAATTCATTGCTTCTCCTCCGAAAAAAAAAAGGAGAGAAAATAGTTCATTTATCTTACAACACAAAATTTCAAGAAGCCCACCAAGCTTGTACTCTGTTTATGGATTCCAGCCAATAAACGGAGGCCAACAAGATTCTAGCATGAGATTGAAATTATCTGTTACAAGAATATGCGGGGAAATAAATAAAATCAAATGAAATAAAAAAAAACCTCCATTTTGCTGGTAATTGCCGTTTACGTTTAGATGGTCGGAGCAATCTTCATTGAAAACAAGAGAAGCAAAAATTTTGCTGAATCGCTTAAGCTTCAATCTACCCATGCATGAATTGAATAACACATTTCTAGTGTTGCGAATTCTACACAACTTGAATTGAATTCGAGTTATCCATTTACCGGTGCACCGGGAATTAATATTCAAGAAAATTTCTGATATATGAAATTAAACCCTAACCCTGGATATCGGCTAAACAGAGCGTCCGAACCGATATTAGAGGAATTTAGGATTCAAGAAGGAATTGTATTGTTTCAATGATTTTTTTTTGGGCTGTCAGACTGCATATTTTTTTCATTTTGTTTTAAACGGATAAATAGTATTTAGCAAATTTCTTTATTCTTAGACCAGAAATATCCGCAAATATTTCAGCTAAAATCTCTAAAACGAATATCCAAGGAAGAAAATTACCAACAAAAAAATGGTTACTAGGATTAACTAATTTTGAGTCATAGAAATTAATTTTTTAATTTATATCCAAAAAAATTGGGAATTTTTATTTGTAAAACTTAAATTCTTTTGGGAGAGGGAAATGGAATGCAAATTATGGTAAAATGATTGAAAGTATAACAAATACCTAAAAAAAAATACCAATAGATAAGCCTCTTCTAATGCTTTGATCTTCTTCGACAATTTTTAGTAAGAAACAATTGCCTGTCTTATGCCTCTGATTCTTGCTATTAAAGATGATACAACAACAAATAAATGAAGACAACTATAATGTGAAGGAAAAAGGTGACAAATAGCTTTTGGAGAAAAGGAAATTGACTAGTATAGTACTTTTCCAAAGAGTCCCTATAAAGAATGGAGTTTGGGAACACACACCTATATTGTTATGGAGAGGTTGAACACTTAAAGATGCATGTTGCTCTTCTCAAGCATAGCCCTTGCAATATAACAAATGAGAGTTGTGGGAAGCTAGTTGACACAATATATAGGTGGCAAGTGAGGACTTGCATCATCCCTCAAAGCCAATCAACTCAATTCTCAGGCTTTAATAGTTCATTTGAATTACTAAATGAGATGGTAGCCCATTAAAGAAGGGCCTTTAGATTTACATAGATCCGATCTAGAGACCTACTTATAGACCGTGTAATTTAAGAGAAATTCACCTATAAGAAGTGATTTAAAATCACGATATTTTAAATAATAGATGCAAATATAAAATTTCTAAAATCAAGAAGATGAGCTATCTTTAGTTTATGACTGTCGCTTAAATAGGACTTTCCAATCGAATAGCATATGGTCACAGTGATGTATGACAATGTAAGAAAAGTGATAGTAAATATTAAAGTCTGTCTAATGGGTGCTTATATCACTAATATTATTTTGAAAATTACATACATTATACAAATCAAAATTGTCATTGGATATAGGATTTTAAAATCTATAAATAAGATATCGATGTATATCCCTAAAATTTTAGGTAAGAGAGAAAATAATAGTAGGTTTTGGAGGTTAAGCAAGTAATATAATACAAAAATCCAATTGATTTTTTTTTATTATAAAAAGCAGACTTCATTAACAAATTATTGAAAATCGTCCAGCGTGATTTGATCTATATCTCTACCCTAATGGTAGGTTAAACATAAAAATTACAAATCTGCATTTTAACAAATGCAATAGATCCAAAAAAATTATGAACAAATCTAAAAAATAAAAGAAATTTCAAAATTGTCTCTAACAGATAAATCACTGTAGCTCCCTACTATGTATATTCCAATCACTGGGTTTATTAATCAATGATTTTAAACTCTAATAATATGATGCGATCTGTCGAATTAGATCCAAAATTCCAAAAATATTTCAGATTTGACGACCAAATCTGAAGTAAATTAAGATCTAAAAATAAAAAAAAAGAAGAAAAACACAAAAATCTCCATAGTAATCTATAGGAGAATAGAAAATTCTCACTTAGAATTTCTAGGAGAAATAGAAAAGCTTCATTAAAAAAAAATTCAGGAAAGAGTTTATTAGAAAAACAAAACAAAACAAAATGAAATTCATGGGAAGGAGACCATCACGTGATCTCCCTCCCTAAGGGAATGTGTTTTAAGAGAGGAGGGGAAATTGGGAAAAGTTGAAGAAGAGGAGAGGTAGAAAGAAAAGGGTTGATTTCTGATAAGATAAACAGGTTTGCAAAAATCCAATTGATGGTTGAGGATTGTATATAAAATTTCCAAACTAAGAAGATGGGGGAAGGTTAAGTTGGGTGGTAAAACGGAAAAGATTGTAAATATAAGGTTCTAAATTCAAAATCACATTTTAAAAAAAAATAAAATAGAAACTAGGAAGATAACTGAATAATCTTTCCCAATCACTTATATATTAGCAAAATGATAAGAATAAAAGAAAATTTAAAAGTACCCGTTTTCCATGGGTTCTTCCATTGATGGGCTCAGTGTCTATAGAATAAATTTTCTTCGCTAAATTGCCTTTTCTTTTTTGCTTTTGATCCATCGCCAAAATGAAATTGTGCTGCATAATATGCATGGAGTGGGTCAAATTAAATGAGTTGGTATATTGAGTAGCTCGATAATTATTCGATGTCTCTTTTTTCTATTAAAGGAGATGGTCAAGTCTGCATTCCATCATACTAATATTTATTTTTAGTACAACATTGTTACAATTAATACTATAATGGAAAAAGAAGACGGAGATGAACCTATCTAATTTATTAAAATGCTTTATGAGAGTTAAATAACTTTCGATCATATGCCAAAAAATTCTGAAAAGGAAACACAATTAGAGGGTTTGACCCCTAATCTTCGCCCACGGGGCATGGAGGGACTTACTTAGTCCCTCTTCTGGTGGCCATACCAATCAATGTACCTACTAATCAAGACATCAAAAGAAAGGTGGGGAAGAAGGATATTGTCTTTGACAAAAGGCGCCAAATTAAGTGCGTGAATGCGCAGGAAAATGATTCATGGTAATGTTTGCTATTTAGTTTATTTTACAATTATATTTTTTTCTTACATGGACTTACCAAGAGTGATCATTCTTGAGGTAAAAAGACAATAGCAATACGCTTTCAAATGTCAAAGGGAAGGAAGGTAAAAAAAGACGACGTTGTGTTTGTCGAAATTAAAACACTTGTTGGTAATATTAATACGTGTCACTCAAGTAATTTAGTTTTTCTTATACGGAATTCACATAAAATTGTCATTCTTGAATCAAAAGCAAAGTAGGAATTGGTTTGTAAAATTAAAAAAAAAATATAGGGAATTAAATCTGTGTAAATTTAAATATTTAATTGATTAACAGGGATGATATTTTGGACCTATATAAATTTCACCTCATTGAATAAATCTGAGAAACTTTCTAAGCCAATATACAGATTGGAAGCCAATTCACTAAATGAAGATCTATTAACCACAACCAACCAAAAGATCCATGGAAAACTGTAGGGCACAACGTTTATTGTGCTCAAATCTGATGACTTAAGAGGGTTTTTGGAGCTAGTCACTATACTTTTATACGGTTTAATTAGTTAAACCTATCATGGTAGTTGTGGATTCTACTCAAAATTTATTTATCATGATCAGATTTAATTTATGCCTCATATTGTTTACATTTCAGATTATGTACTGTACTGACTAATTGGACTATTGAACAAAGAAATACTCTTTCTCTCAGACTTGACACTAACATGTCAAGCGAGAACCAAACCCCTAATAAAGCCTCTTATCAACTTCTGACTCGACCATGAATCAGTTCGGAACCAACCAAAATTCATCCAATTGGATCACTCAACAACTATACGAGTAATATATTCTGGGCATTTAGATAATTCTTCTATATATCCTTGGAATATATTCTGGGCATTCTATTAAAGCACAAGGTATCATCCAAAGATTGCTAGAAATGAAAAGTACTAAAACACGTACCAGCAAAGCAGCTACATAAGATTTACATTTCCTGGACCAATGCCGTAACAAGTACAACAACTCTAGTAATAACAATTCCGGTACTTCTCCTGAATTGGCAAGATCAGCTGCACCAATTGCACCCTTGTGTCAAAGTCCATGTGCCACTACTTCTCTTCTTTGCTATGAGAATATGGGCAGTTGTATGACATTCTGTCTATATACTACAATACAAGAAAAGTATACTCCAAACTAAGTATCCAGTTTCCAGCCTGTTATGTGCGAAACCACTCGGAGGATTGTTCCCTGCCTCGTGAGTTTCATCGCTTCCCTGTCAAGTACTTATTCTGGGTACCATTAGCCTTGGAGGTTTCTCCAATAACCTCGTCATCATCATCGTCTGTGTCAATTTCAGCCGCAGTACGGTTCAACCTGGTTCTCTTGCGAATTCTCCAGCTGGGAAGGTAAAAATTAAAGTAGTAGCTGACTATGCTTGCTCTACTTTTGTTGGGCAGAAATTGACTGGCCAGCTGCAGAAAAGTTTTACGCGTTGATGAGGGAAGGTTCCTTTTCTTCATCACAGAGTTGAACCTAAGCATATCCCCTAAAGTCCAGGAATCAGTAGAATCTTCTCCCATCTCATCAAATTTCCAGGTTTGAAAAGCAGGCCCCAATTCAGCCTTCAGTTTTCCTCTTTCCTCCACCATATGACGATGAACACAGTCAACAGATCCAGGCATTTGGCAATTACAAGCATCCCCCTCGTGCGTCGAACTGTTGTTCGTCTCTTGGCTAGGTTGGTTTGGTTCATTTCTTGACCATATCTTCGTACCAAACCACTTTCGATTGTTTGGGTTGCTGGCGTACTGGTCCTTAGTGGACAAGATAGGCAAATAAGCTTGAAATGGATCTTTTTTGGGGATTTCCTCGTACTCTGATTCGTTAGCTACCTCCGGGATTACCTTTGGACCTCCTGATTCATTCCTAATATAAGGGACTACCCCCCGCTCTTGCTGAATAAAATTTATCCAATCCCTTTTGCACTCCTTGGGGTTCTCAACTTTGAGTAGTCGCTTTCGCTTCTGTTTACTTGACATGCTGGTCATTTCAAGTCACCAACGAGGGTGTGAGACATAGAGATGTTCCAATTAGATCCGTGCGGTTGGATATGAATCAAAATATTGTAATTCGTAGTTCTGACGAATGTACCTGATGAAGTCCAGGAGATGAAAGACTGAATTGGTTCAGATGGCAAAAGTTATTGGATCCTGGTATTCTGCGTACAAGACGACAGAAACATAGGAAAAGAATAAAGGATTAGCAATGTTCTACAGACTTGCGAAGGAGGACAAAGCAAAACGTACAGGAGATGTAAGACACATGATATTCATGGAAAAAAGTCGCAAGTAAATGCATATTTTGCTTGCATGTCGATTAATTTGACATGTCAACGTGTACATCAGCACTCGATTCTTGCTCCCTAAGTAAGAGCGTTCTAATCTCTGAATATTATGCAAAGGAAAACAATAATTTCTTAAGAAATTCTGTAAGTCTGATGACCGAAAGTTACAATAAAATTATAATGCTCAATATGATAGCAACTGCAATCTAGGAAATGGACCATATGAAGAAGACGAAGGAGTACATTTCTTCAACTTTCAATAGTTATATCTCCAAAAAATAAACATAAAAAAAAAGAAAATTTCAGTAATTAGAAAATTAAAATTGACCGAAGTGCCTTTGATCCAAAAATTCAATCATGCAAACCAAACTAGAAGAACATACATTTATAATATGGTAATTCAGTTACCAAATCTAACACATTTTAGGTTGTGATTTTTTTCAGAAAAAATTCAAGAATAAGAAAATCTTGCAAGCCCGCTAAGGAAACCTTGTACTCCATCTATTTTTCTCGTCTCTACCATTATATAGTTATCTATCGTTCCTGCTCTGCAAAAGTCATCCGAAACTCAAGGCTAATTTTGGCATTTTATTGGTTGAACCAGCTCCAAGTACAACCCTATATTGTATATTCCGCAGGCCGCAAAGTATAGAGCTGTAATCCAAGTAAATAAAACAAGAAAAGTTTATATTAAAAAAAAAGAAAAGGAACGGTGATAAATTTTGTTTTTCCTCTTTCTTTTCTCGAGCCCGCCATTTTTCAAATTCAATATCGAAACAAAAATACAAAAAAGATAATCGAGAGAGTTCTCCGAGTCGTTTCAACCAAATATTACCCGACATTAACGAAAATACCAGCAGAAAGAAATATTACCTCTCCAATACAAACAGAAACCTTTCGCCTGAGAATAGTCTGCGGGTTCTGCAATGAAGAATGGTAATAGCCCAGTTCCTCTGTAATGTCGTTGAAATCTGACGTTCTCCTCTTACTTGTTGTCTTTACCTCTGTTTTACAGCTGGAATCTGACTGTTATAATTCGTTTTTAGCGTCTGTGGTAGATTTCTGATCTCGTTCTCTCCTCCGAAAACGCAAATCTTCAGAAGAAGATGATTCGGTTCTCTGAGTTGAAGATTCAATGCAAAAGAATCAGATATAATATCGATTCCCATTCAAGATATAGCAGGTTCTCTATTAGATTATGATTTTTCAGCTGTTTTCTCCAAAGAGATGAAGAAACTCAAGGCCCTAACCGCAAATTTATTGCGATTTCATGACTTTCTGATCGATGAAATCTCCATATGAGAATCGAATGAGTCGTTGTCTTGAAATTGTTATGATCACGATATTCAAGAAAATAACCGAGTTTTCAGATAATTTTCGTAAAGTTTGAGGGTTGAGGAAAATTTTTGAGCAATTAAAAGATGCAGAAGATAAAAGAGTAGAAGTAAAATGTATTTTAATGGAAGGTTAAATTAAAGGAAAAATTGGCTTACCTTATTTATATGTGACGCAGGGGATTCCCTTGCGCTCGCTCCCGCTTACGCTTAGTTTGATTCATATAGCTTTAGTTTGATTCATATAGCTTGTTGACGACGAATCAATACTTAATGAGCTAATGCTGTGGGTAATTGTGAAATAATAAAATAAAGTCGTAAATATTGTCCTATTTATGGACTATATGATTTACTTGTTTCAGTCAATCAAAAGACACCTGCAAATGATTTATGAACTGTATGATTTACTTGTTTCGAAGAGTCAAAAGACACCTGCAAATGGCACTGCTTTAAAAGAGAGATGTTAATGACATTTCTTTATTTGTTAATGACAATCTATTTGACCTTTTCAGCGTGTCAATTGAAAATTTTTTATTGAATTTGCAATGCATCTTGTTTTTATCATGAGAATGTTTAACTTGTCATTAGAACAGCAATGTAAATCAAATCGTATTAGACGATTTTCAGTAATTCATTAATGAAATTTGCTTTTTATCAAAAAAAAATCTGAAAAAAATCAAGGAGTATCGTTAGCGAATAAAAGCGCCATCAGCCTATCTCATTTTAAAAGTACTACTATCATTTGCATATCTACGAGTCCATTAATAAATAAACCCATTTCTTATCATGAAGTATGAATCTTCTATACCAAACAGCGATTTGGATTATCTGCTTGTATTGCCTCACATCCCATTTCAATCACACTAATGTTGAGAACTTATTTCCTGTTTGGAGTTGGATGAGAAGGATTGAAGATCAATAGGAGGGGTAAAATAATACACGAATAGTTTGATGGGATAAGGCTATGAATTAGAATGTATCACCACTTAGGATCCGGTTCATTGCGGTTGTCGCAGAGGGCATTTGATGGCTAGCCTGATTCGAGCTGTCAAATGCATGGTGCGATTGCTCCTGCAACTGCACAAATCCTATTACTTATCGACCACAATGAGCTCAACTTATGCATATGCTAGAATTGGGCAAGGTTTTCTTATGTAGGATGGAGGACACGCAAAAGAAATGAAGCATTAGGGAAACTCGTAATGCTCTTTGGTGCCCAAATAATTCTTGTGCACGGCCATATATGTACGCAAAGATGCTATGCATAATTCATATTCAGTCGAATGCAGTAGTCTGGGACAATCTTATCACAAGCACGAAATACTCAAATCGAGCAAATAAAGCTTCAATGAACACAATTGTAATTCAAATTCAAGGCTTCAAGCAGCGTTTTCTTGAGGAGCATTGGCTGAAAACATAGGACTTTTCAAATATGTAAAATGAGCAATGCCACAGGCAATAATTACTCAACATCAAAGCCTTTTTGCTGAAGCTCAGATACGACTTCATTCTTCATCCTCATCCACAGCTTAAAAGCCTCCTGCTCAAACTTCTTGTCCTGCAAATTCTTTTGAAAATTGATCGAATCTTTATCTGTTTCGATGATGCCTTTCGGCCCAATTGTAGTTCCAATCATCCCACCCTTAGCAATGAACTCCTCCATTGCCTCCTTGTCACCTGGATATGGAAAATTTGGGCGCTCGTAGAGATGGGCTAGCTCCTGTTCCTCCTTAGGCTGGGGCTTTAAAGTCCACCAGCCAAGCGGTGACGTCTCGTTCCACAGCCAAGCTACGCCAAAAAGCGTGTAGGTGCACAACAATGCCTTGCCTATTTGCTTCCAGAAGTGATAGTCTTCTTTTCCTAGCCCAACTTTCTTCAAAAAGTTCTCGGCGTAAAACAGACCTGAAAGAGATTCATGCATAGATTAGAAGTATGCAGCCAATTGGTTGAGGCTTTTCGTCGAACGACTTGTGTCAATTACCCATGTACACTGACAGATAATAAATGAAACCATAGAAATAAGCAGGAACTTATACCTGCTTCATTTTTTAAAAATATCTTGGTACCGAAAGAGAATTGGCACGAAAATTTGCATTTTACCTGTTCTCGTGTCCTGAAATCGTTTGCGAACCATTGATGAAAGAGCTCGAGAAAGAGAGCGTCGGGGTGTTCAGGAGCGAAAGCTGAATAATGCAACTGGTATATACGGTCGGTCTGCTTTTGGGTTTCGTGGGTAGTGAGTATCTAGCCTATCAATAATTTTAAGATTGTCAGAAATTAATTAGGTCTTTCAGGATAGAATTGGTCTAGAAATTTTTATTTTTATTATTTTTTAAAAATGGTCATGAATAATTTCATTTCAAAGCAGCGCCTAATTACCTCAAGAATCTTGAAAGTCACGTCCAAAAAACCACGTAATCAGTGAATCTTTATTCATATACCTCAAGTCTTAACGTACTTTTGTTAGCCCTATATCATTGTTTTTATTTTTTTAATTCCAAAATCACTGGGTTACGGCCTTGACGACCTTCAAAGATGTGTGTTGCTTAAGGAATAAGTGAGGAGTAGAACCTTGTTTTTTTTTTCCCTAACGATAACAGTTAAGCAGGAAACTTTTGACTTGGACCATTTAATGTAGTAAAAACAAGCTAAAAGTCTACTTTGACCCAACCACTTGTTTTACATCATATATTGCCATGCAAACCTGTCAAGAAATTGCTGTAATCTTGTAATTTGTGATATCCCAATAAACTGTTTCATCTATGCAAACAAACAGTCATTGAAGAACATATGTTTGAAATTCTCAACAACTCTGACGGATGCATCTTTCTGCAGTGAGGAAACTTGCCACCTTGTATACCTCATCAGCGAAGAGTCCCAACTGGTTTTTTGTACGTGTACCACTTTGCAATGAGGATATAAGCTCCCAAATTCAGCACGCTTAGCACAGCCAAGAGCCAGAAGAAGTAATCGGTGTGACCGCGATTAAGATTATTCGGTATCCAACCAGGTTTTCCATTCTTTGTGCTAATTCTTGTCACAATGGTCACAAGCAAGGAACTCAAGTAGTTTCCCAAGGCAACTGTGGTCAGGGAGAGAGCAACACCCAAACTTCTCATGGCATCAGGTGCTTGCTCATAGAAGAATTCCAGCTGTCCAATGAATGTGAAAACTTCTGCACAACCTATGATGAAATACTGAGGCACCTGCCAAAATATTGACATGGGTATCTCTTCAAGATCATAGGAGTTATGTCTTTTCACATAGCGTAATCTAACAAGTTCCAAGATCCCTGCTGAGAGCATGGCAAAGATCGATATGAGGAGCCCGATTCCCATTCTCTGAAGCTGAGTCAAGCCATTTTTGTGACCTGTGAACTTTCTGGCAACCGGGACAATAATTCGGTCATAAACAGGAACCCAGAATATGACACTCAGGGTGTCAAAAATCCCAAGTGATGCAGGCGGGATTTGGAAGGTAGAATGTCCCACATAAGTATTCATCGTTTCTCCTTGTAAGACGAACAGGGTGCTCATTTGACCATACACACTGCTGAAGATGATACCTGTTGCCCATATAGGAAGCAATCGTATTATGGCTTTTAGCTCCTCAACTTGAGTCACCGTACAAAGTCTCCAAGGATCTACAGAGCCCCTTTTATAGTCAGATTCCCTCTCAACGGCTGCCTTGTCAAAGAAACTGTTTAGGATAACATTATACAATATTTCAGTTTTGAAACAATGCAAGGGGCAAGCAAGCAGTTGACACGGCAAAGGAGATTGTTCAAGATTAAATCAAGAAAGGCTTCATTTCAGCCATTGGTTTTGAAAGAACTGTAAAAGTACACAAGACGTGTTAACTGCAAATATATTTCTTATATTACATTTGAAGTGATGATTCCTATAGAACTATTCAAAGGAAGGTGTTATGCCTTTGACCAAATGAATAAGGAGTTATGCCAAAGCAGTGTCCGTTCCTTTCTTGTCAAGTTTCCGAGAGGTAGAGACTGTTTGTTTTTAGCCATTAAAAGAAGAAGTTCTGAAACCTTAAAAATGACTACCCAATAAAAATTCTTAATTCTTTAGAAAATTTGAGTATGTGTGTGTATATATATATATGTTTATATATATACATACATATATAGATGAATATATATATGTTTATATATATACATACATATGTATATGAATATATATGTATACATATATGTATGTATGTATGTATATAATCAATTTTTTCCCTGAAAATTGCATAGTTATCCAACGTAACTCCACTTTTTCCATTCAATACTTCAAAAAAGTACCATCAGATAGATGACTGGCTAAGAACCATTTAATGATCCTTTGAATATCTTTTGAACTCAATCTTGAAAGCAAGCAAAAATTATCAATCAAGTTTAAAACCACGAGGTAGGCAGGATGATATGGTGCTTACACAAGATCACTAGTATGCCCAAGCTTCCGACTTCCTTCTATTGCAGATTCAGTATCTTTGCATTCATACAACAAAGACTTGTCTTCAGGCACTTCAACTTTATACTTCTTGAAAGATGCAACA